TACCAATATTGATTGATTATGGAACCTTATTGTTTTCATGTTTAATCATAGGACTTAGTTTACTAGATTCATGTAAATATCAGGCCAATTATAGTGGGGTTGACCGATCTGTTGAGGAATCGTGTATCTTGACCCGATTTGTGAATAAACGCGCGTTAATAGCCTTCGTTTAAACACGATAAGGTGTGACGAAAGGCGCTCTAAGGCCTATGGTATCCTCGGATCTAGAAGGGTCGATGACCACATCTTCATCACGATCAACCTCTGTTAACAAAAATATTTAATATAATCAAATGTTGTTTATGTTTATGTTTTATGTTCTTTTAAGTATGGTATTTTGAAATTTGAATATTTCTTTCAAGAAATATATTGATCTAGTGATCTATAACCGAATAAATACCATATATTATATACGTGTCCATTAGTTATTGTGATACTTTTTTTGGTAAAATTGCAATTTTAGTCCTATTGGTTTGATCCAATTGCATTTTTTTAGTTATAAGAATTGAACAATTTTGCTATTTGGTCATATGATTTTAAAGTTCAACGCAATTTCAGTTATTTGGGATTGAAAATGTAACAAAATATAAAATTACAGGATTTAAATAACTAATGAAAAAACTTTTGAATGGGATTTGGATTAGCAATTTTAAATCATGTAATTTTAAAGTTTATTGCAATTTTAGACTCAAATGACTGAAATTGCAGCATGCAGCAAAATATTAAATTATAAGATCAAAAGATAAAAAGTTGAAATCTTAGGATTAAAAATGTTGTAATCAAAAGATAAAAAGTTGAAATTTTAAGATTAAAAATGCTACAGCGTTAAATTAACAGAACTAAAAATACAATTTTTCCTATTTTTTTTCTTGGATTTAGATTGTGTGGAACGAAGTGTCGTTTTAACTTTGCTTGACTTTTTGGTTGGCTTAGTTGAAAATGAAAGTTTTTCGAAAATTTGTCTTGTCTAAAAGTGATAAATGTGTAAAAATTACTTTTAGAAAATGTGAGATGAATTTAAGTTTGTAAATGTGAATATGACAGAAGTGTAATTATTAATAATGTTAAACATGATATAAAAATGATAAAACAATTAGCGATAGTTAAAAATATGTGAATATTTTTTTTTAAAAAAAATAATAAAAAAATAGTAATGATTACTTTTATTTCTTAAGTGAGAGTGAGATTTGTACATAAATATGAAAGATGTACTGAACAGTATTTTTTTAATGAAAACTTGTTTCAATTTAAGTTTTAGTGAAATAATAAAGTTTGGCTGAAAAAATGACGAAATGGATAATATTTTTGTGAAAATTTTTGTTTTAATTTAATTTTGACTGAGATAATTTGGTTGAATAAAGATAGATTTTTTTATTATTTTTTGGTAACAAAGTTTATTTTTTTAAAAAAATAATGACAACATATTTTTATAATAAAATAATCCCAATATAGGTATTTGCTTACAAGTGAAAAATTGTTAGATGAAATCATCCAAATGTACATGTATTTATTTTATAAATATAGTATGCATATAATTTTTACAATAATTCTTTGAAAACGGTCAAGTTATATGGCATATAAGGTTTATATTAGTATAGCGCCACGTGAGTTACACGGGTGCTTGCTAAATTTTTTTTCTTAAAATTTTAAATTAATGAGAAAAAGTATTTGAAAATTTAAATTCTTTTTTATTAAAAGATGTATATTATTATATATTTTAGTATGTCACTTGTTATTTGTGCGACTTATATCCTGTGTTGTAATAATTTTTCTAACTTATAACATATAACTACATTAAACTTAAATATATTAATTGAAAATTAATTTTATTTTTCTAATTAAATTTAATAAATATTTTCTTATTATTGTACAGATAAATATAATTTATTTGTTTTATATATACAATATGGATGTCAAATCGAAGTCCATTAAAAGATGATTAATTTGATATATTATATATACAAAACTGATAAGAAATACAAAAGTTATCCGAAACTATTTATGATAATCCGAAACTAATTTATTTTTTTTTTGACTGGAATTAAATTAAAATCTATCCAAACCAAATAATAAAGCATGGAATTTTGGTACCTAGGATCTCGAATCATGCGAGTCTGTCACTTAGGCTCAGCATATTCATTAATTAAAGGGGAAAGGGGTTTGTCCGTTTTAATTTTATATATATATA